GAATTAAGAATTAGGAACAGAGAAATGATTTTGTCTCTTGTCAAATCCTAGAAATGTGTCATTGAGTTGAACAAGGGTGGAGACTCCTGGATTGGTCTTAGGGCCATAGAAAGATTTATAAAAACAGGACGGGAATGGAAACGGAAATGGGAATGGAAATGGGTGGACAGCTCGCCGCTGACAAAAATGTGAGACGTTTTAAAAGTTTTGTGTCATTATATTAAATTAATAAACTGAATTACATGCTAAACAAGTTTTTAAAAAATGCATTATTATGTATTACCGATAATAAAAATATATGAAGTGAAATCCAACAACTTGCTTCAAATAATCAGAAATTCGAAAATAACATTTTATTTCTCCTACAGGTTCGGGGCAGCCGGATTTTCACACCAGCCCTGGGACCAGTACGCTGCAGCATGCTGCGATCAACAAGGAAAATGGACACATAGCAGATATGATGATCAAAAGAACTGGATCTGTGAGAAAGAGATTTCCTGTATTCCTTCATGACAGAGGGGTGTGTAGTGACGGGGTCAACTTTTTCAAATCAGACCAACTCACATTTTACATTTCTTCATTCTGTGTTTCATCCTGAACAACCTGGATTACATAGATATTGTTTGTTTGTTTGATACAGTCTGGTTAGAAGTCATCCACACAGCAACATGTGCACTTACCCTCTCTGCAGAGAGGGATGTTACAATAGCTGGAGACGTCATTTACATAACGACAGGGGAAAAATGTATAATTTCTGTCGGTTACTTCCACACTGATGTAGCTACACTTGGGCAGAGTAAAGATTATGAATGTGTTTTGGAGTGAAGAATGCATCAGATGGTAAATCAGATTTCAGTATCTCTTGAATGCTTGGTTGCATTTACGCTTTGGGTTTTGTTGGTAATTCAAATCAATCTAATTCACACAAGATGGGTGGTGATGGCGCAGCGGATTTGGTTGCCTTTGGTGTGAGAGACCCGGGTTCAAATCCACTGCAAGACACCAATGTGTCCTTGAGCAAGACACTTAAATGTAAATGTAAGATGCCTGAACTGGCCAAGTATAAGCAGTAGCGTAAGACATTAACAACGGTGCCCAATGCAGGATGTTATGATGGCCGCTGGGCTGCACAGTTACGAACCTCACACGCGCACAGATATTTACTTTTAACGTGTATTTTAGTGTTTTCTTGATCTTATCATGTATTTGTTTTTATGTGTTTTATTGCCTTTGCACTTGTTAAAGCACTTTGTAACTTGTTTTTGGTGCTCCATAAATAAAGATTATTACTATTGTTAGAGAGGCAATTAAGCAGCTAGTTCACAAGGATTTCAGTCAGTAAACCGGGTGGTGTATCGGTCAGGACACAGGAATGAAGACGAGGAGATGTGATTTCTTCTTTTAACTGTAATGAGCTCCTGCAGTGCTCATCAGAATATTCCAATATCCATCATTCTCATTATAGTCTGATAAAAAACAAATAAGTCACCATTAGGTACTGTCATTTAAAGGATATTACTCTTTGGAAAAATATAAGAAGCTTCACGTATCTAGGGTGGTGATGGCACAATGGATGAGACACATGCCTTTGGTGTGAGAGACCCGGGTTCAATTCCCCAATGTGTCCCTGAGCAAGACACTTAACCCCTAGTTTCTCCAGAGGCGTGCGACCTCTGACATGTATAGCAATTGTAAGTCGCTTTGGATAAAAGCGTCAGCTAAATGAATAAATGTAAATCTAACTAACCAGTTTGAGACTATATTAAAAGGGGTTCACATATGGAGCAAGTAATGGCGACACCCTCTGGCCAGCCAAGGCTACTTCACAATAGCGTCTCCACATGGTCTCATGAACACGATATTAACTCTTCATAACTCAATGTTATAAACTAACAACACAGTAGCTACACACTTTTTCTAACCACAGAAGAAGACTCTTAAAGCGTACCACTTGATCTTACTGTCACCATAATGGTAAGAGGTAAACTGGGAGTCTGCTGATTAATGATGAGTCCAGATGCATTTTGACCGTGCAACTATCAAAGTCCAGCTCGTGACCTGGCGCCCCCCCGTCACAGGTCCCAGTGTGGGTGCATTGCCTGCACTCTCTATACCTACACCTCTGGGTAAGTGTTTTAGTTGCATAATGTTGACCAAATCTACAAAAACTACAACGCAATTGCCGTACATGGTTACTGTAGAAATAAATATGGTAAACCTTCTAAATTGTTGTCACTGACTGTGATCTAGTGTTATGAAGAACTGTTTAATATCAACATTATCTTAAGCGCAGTCAGTTGAGAAACTACCTACACGCTCTCGTTCTGCATGCAAGAAAATAAAGAACAGAGAGTGGACAGACTGGTCAACCTCTACAAAGGTGTGGACACTTTCTGGATGGAGTTACGTAAATATTAAACACTGTAGAATCAAAACTAAATTTTATTATTTCTATCATACTGCATGTGTACTTTATATTCCTTTGTGCTGCTATATCGACTGAAATATCCCCTACGGAGGATTAATAAAGTTATCTAATATCAAAAGAACTGAATGTGTGTATTCAAATTAGAGGCTCAGCTAGAAATTTTATTTGTACATAAGTGGTATAATATTGATACTGATAATATTTGTTTGTCCTCAAGCCTGTATAAGATTTAACTGTAGCCTTAAAACTGTGACGTACATTATCTTCTCTCACAGGCTGCTTCAAATACATCCTGTAACCTTAGACAAACTAACAAAATGGACCAAATGTTCTCATAATGCAGCAAAACAATAAAAAATGAAAGACAAATGCGTACTGTGGTGACGGCTCTGGCCATCAATTAGAAAACAAAAAATCAAGTAATAAAATGCTCGCAGTTCACAAACAGCTGGTATTTTTTAGGAAAAACATATTTCCTGCTTGTGATGCTGTCAAATCTAAAAGTGTTTTACAGTTGTGGTTTGACTTACGTGTATTAATGAAGACCTTTTACCATCTTTAATTGATGTAACAGTATTAGTAAATGATGGCAACATAGTGCACTGCTGGCAAAGTTAGTTTGCTCTGAGCTCAAGTAGTAATGTTCAGTTTCGTGGCATGCAATAAAACATAATGCTTCATTATGTAAAGTCTTTATACACCACTGAAAACACAGTTATGTAAATTATATTGCATTTCTGTCAATAGATCATTCTAACTATTACACATGGGACTTTCTGGTATTATTTATTCAGTATTACTGTTCACCATAACAAATCTTTTAATTATGGAAATATTGTATATTTCTTTGTATTTTCTTTGTATTTTATATTTTTACATACTTCTTTATATACCAACTTTCTATTATCATTTATATTCCTTTTGCCTTGATGTGCAATGTGTGCAACACAAGAATTCCCCCTCTGGGATCAATAAAGTATTTCTGATTGTGATTAATGTTTGTTGTCCCTGACAAAGAAGTACTTCCTGGTATTGGTACATGGTACCAAACCGTGGAGCATTTCTTTCCATCACAGATGTTCTAAACATGCAATCGGTGAAAAGAAAGGATTGTAAGGTCAAATGGAAATGGGTGGACGGATAAACACCAATATATAACACCAATAAATTCAGATTTTTTGAAAACGTGATATGTCAGGGTCAATGTTTAAAGCTGCTAATTCAATGAAACTGAAAGATAAAACTAAATAACTCATTTTCTATCAAGTCAATCATGTTTTCAGATATGATGTTTTCTATAAATAAGCACTATGTGAGTCTGACGTGTTCATACAATGATAATCACTAAACAATTTAACCCATGGCTTTAACTCGACACCAATGCAAGATTACATCTGTGTAGCTGTTGAGGTGAAAATTATTTAGTTTGTTTAAATTTGTACCATTTTCTCCCAAATCCCTGTACGTAATCTACATCTGAAGAACTGAATTTGAAATGATTTGCTCCACTGCACTCTGAACTTGAATCATGGTTTGTTTTAAGAAGTCAAACGCTGCTGATTTGGGCTCTTCGTAGCTCAGTTTAAAGAATCTGCAGTCTACTGCTCCACCACATGAGGGCACCAACATGTTCATATCAATCCTCCTCTGTACTGCTCTCTTTACTAAAAGCTGAACACTGTGAAATATTGTTTTCCCCTTGATTTTGGAATAATAAAGAAAAATGATTTCACTTTCTGAAGCTCTTCTTCTGTGGAGTACATATCAAGACAAACTGAATATGAAGTTTCAGTCCACAATACAATTTTCTGAGCACAAGAACTGCATATATAATCTTACATCAATAATTTCAATGCGTTTTGTGGCTTTTCCCTATAACAATATAGTGCTCGTTCTATTCTACAGGGTCTGGCGGATAGCAGTGAATGTAAAGCCCGAGGACAGGCCCGGGTCCACAGCATAACAATCTGCATGGAACATGGACAATAACACAGGATCCAATCAATGAGAAACAGATCTATTCAGAGTTTCATGGTGACCTTGGAGGCCAACATGTATGTATTTTATCAACTGTCATAGGTTTAGGATTGGCATTTTAACTTTATTAAACTTTACAACTTGGATGAAAAATGGTTTCAGTCTAGATAATGACTGACATTTCCTGTTTAGGGCAAACTGTTAATCTGCTGTGTGTGTGTGTGAGAGAGAGAGTGGGTTAGCAATGTTGGCCATGGTGTGAAAAAATGTGGGTTGATCTTTTAAAACATGTGTATTGTTGTTTTATCTTGAACATCATTTTTAAAATTATTATTTTCAGTTTTATACCCATGGATTTATTTAGTTTTGTCTAAATTGTGTCATACAGTGAATCCAAAGATTTGACAACACAGTCGTCTAACTGAAGTTACAAAAACCACCAAACCGGATCCAGAAGAGTCAAATGAATAAAAAGTGAGTGTGTGTTTCTTTGCTGCTACTTCCTCATTTTTCTCTACTGAAACCAGACAGAAGCCGGGTTATGCAAGACGGACAGCAGCATCGGTACAGTAGTATATCTACTACAGTTAGTCCTGCAGAGTATACTTGTACACATTGAAGGTTTACAGCAGCATAGTAACCAATCAACACAGAGCAGTTACAGGAAGTGAAGTGCAGCTACTGTTCAACTGTCTCAGTCCTCTCAAGATGTCCTCAGATATTTATGCCAAACCAGATTTCTCAAAGAAGGTGAGATACAACAGAAAGGTGCAGGAGGACAACGTAGAGTGGGAAGAAAGAACGGTGGCTATCTACGAGAGTACAGACGATATCAGAGATGATCACACTGATCTTCAGTCACACGACGGAGGTAAGTGAGAAATTATGACAAATCAATGATATAAAAAAATAATGTTTATCTTGTTTGTGTGATCGTCTGTTTGAATCATGTTGGACTAATGTGTGACCTCTGAGTTTACTCTCAGTTTGTAACACGTTGATTTCCAATCCCACAGAACTGCAGCCCATTAGCGTCTATGTTTGTTTCTATTTATGTACGTCTCTCAGCTCTGTATTAATAACAGGAAGAAGTTATTAATACTAATACTACTAATGTAAAGTCAGTTTAACAGCTTTTAGTTATGAGTCAGTTGTGCATTTTAATTGTCCTTTAAAACTCTACATTTTCAGATAAGATGATATTTGTTTTACATCAAAAATAATAATTGGTCAACACAACAGTCTTTATGTGATTTGTTAAAATGTTAATACTACATTTCACAGCTGTATACAGATGTTGAACAACCACAGATGAAGGCAGTGAAGCTGTTGACTAAAATGTTATGTGTGGGGAATGATAACATGACGCATGTGGTTTTCCTTTAATGAACCCGCTCTCTGTGTGCTTTGCCACTTTAGGACCGCACACTGAGAATCATCCTCCAGCCGTCCAAAGCAGGCCTTTCAGAGCTGCTGCATTTTGTCTTGGAGTGCTGTGCTTTCTGACCATAACTGGAATCATCCTCCTATACATACGTTGTAAGATAAAATACACCCCACAACTACTGACAACCAAATACTGAACCTGTTCACAATGCAGAAAAACTGCTGCAACTGGTCTATGAAGCACATTTATTAAATGTTTTCCACCAAAGTTTGCTCAGTTACACTAAAATGTACTTTCCAGTTCTCCACAACCAGATCTAAGGCTGCGTTCAGACTGCAGGCCAAAAAACCCCACAGAATTAAGCATTAAAGGGATGCTTTGAAATTCTTATCCAATGCAGTTTTTGTTAAATTCAGTGAATATTTCCTCATGTCTGTCTGTTTTCATGTTTGTGATGATCCCAGCTGGTTAGCTTTGTTAGCTTTGCCTCAGCGGTCAGTCTGTGTGCGGTAGAGGAGGAATAGACGGAGCGTGAGCGTGAACGGGTGTCTCGGTGAATAGAGAGAAACGGGTCAGCAATAAGTCTTGTTCAGCAGTAAATGTACAGTAGAAGTTCCAGAGGCCGGTGAATAAAGACTGCAGCTTCTCCGGACTAAAGAGGATCTTACGTGTGCTGCTGCCAACTGTTGAATTAAGAGTGAAGGAGGTTAGCCCCAAAGTTAGCTTTGACTTCGTGCCACTAAAACATGCCCTCTTATTGAAGCTAACTTGCTCTCGGACAGCAGACGTTGTGGATTCTGCTATATTTCAGCAGAGTAGGACTGGTTACCATGGCAATGCGTGTCCATGAGTTTGTTTGGCCGTTGGACTCAAATATCTACAAACTCTCTGCAGAATCACCTTTAAGGCCTGCAGTCTGAACGTAGCCTAATAAAACAAGCTGGAGGAAGATGAGACGGTCTTGTTCAAATGGTGAAGAGCACCAGCTTCAGACTTTAAAGGACAGGTTCTGTTTTGTTTGTTCATCTTCAAATAAAACTGACCTGCCATATGCACGCTGAAAGAGTTATCTGTGTAAAAGTACATTCTAACTTTCAGCTGAAGCTATTATGAGAATTCAGAAGTCTGAGTTAGAAAAATCAAGAACATTTTTCTAAAAACACATGAACTTTGGAAGGAAAACCTTCAATTTGTGTAACTCAGACTAATGAAGCTTCATTCTAGCTTTGCCTGTACCTAAAACATTTGTTCACGCGACAAAGACTGAAGATTTTATGTCCCATTTTGTTTACACTGCAGTCAAGGTAGGAGGGGAAAAACTTCAGAGCCATGAACAAAACAATCATTTTATTGATCAAATGGCATGTGAGTCTGGAGCTATTCTTTATGGCAGCTGAATATACCGCATTCAGGATGTACCCTTTCACGCCATTTAAGCACAGTTACTTGACTGTGTTGATCTGCATTTTGGTTCTTCATCACACTTGATACATGAGCGAGTCAGTTATCCAGTTGTTACAACATCTCCACATACACGGCAGGTTAAAGGACACTAAATAACTAAATTATGGTTTGAATTAGAGTGATTTTAATTATGCAGAGAAAGTAACTAAACTGTCTTTAGTTTATAGTGAATGAGTTGGTGTTGTTGAGGTGTTTCTTATGTTGTTTCTCAACAGTCACTTTGGAAAAAGACCAGCTGCAGACCAGATACGACAAACTGAACAAGAACTACAGCGAGCTGCAGGGACAACTTTTAGGTGAGAAAGGTTTAAAAACAAATAAGCAAATACTGTAATACACAGGATCTAACTTCACACTGGTTATCAAGCATAAATGTTTTCATATGGTCTTACTCTTTTATCTATTATGGTTTTCTAAAGATATGGCGGTGAACATCAGTCAGTTACAGAGCAGTTACGAGACACTGAGTGAAAATCAGGATGAAGTAAAGCGGCTGAAGGAATAAATTAGATGTGATGAACGATGAACACCAACATCACACCATTACTTATAATTATAGTTCTTTTATCCTGTTGAACTGTTTTTCTATGTGTTTATTTCTGTTCAAATCAGATACAAAACCTGTGTATTTATAGAGTAAACAACAAGTGGCAGGAAAGAAAGATATTTACTAAATAATGAAACCACAAGTTTTATCAGTTTGACAGTGAATGAGATGAAATCCATCTTTTAAAACTCATTTGAAATATTTTGAAATTGTCTTACTCTTTTATCTCTTGTTGTTTTTTCTCATGACACAGCAGTCAACATCAGTCAGTTACAGAGCAGTTACGAGACACTGAGGAAAAATCACAGCCAGTTACAGGATGAAGTAAAGCAGCTCAAGGACAAACTTGATGGTGAGAAAAGTTTAAAAACTAATAGTGAACACCAGCATCACACCAGTTCACTTGATATAACTTGAATTTGCCATTGATTTTAAATTATAATTCTTTATGCTGTTGAACTGTTTTCTCTGTTTATTTCTGTTAGAAATGAGACAAAACCTGAGTGTATTTATAGAGTAAACAACAAGTGGCAGGAAAGATATTTACTAAATAATGAAACTACAAGTTTTATCAATTTAACAATGAATGACATGAAATCCATCTTTTAACACTCATTTGACATGAAGAGAAGTGGTGTCCTGAAGGATGGAAGAGATTTGGATGCAGCTGTTACTTTAAATCCAACGAGAAGAAAACTTGGTATTACAGCAGAAGTGACTGTCAAAGTAGAGGAGCACATCTGGTGATCATAAACAACGAAGAGGAACAGGTGAGTGTGTTTGTTACTGAGTGTGTGATCTTAGATGTAGCTGCCAGTGATCTGTTACTTCTGTTTTTGACCTGCAGCCAGTCGGCTTCCTATGACGATGCATTAGGGCCATTGTAGGTGGAAATAAAAAACATTACGGAGCGAAGACAAAAAACACCTTGAATATTCTCTGAGACTAAGGTTATAAATTTGAAAGAGAAAACTTGAAAAACAATGTTTCAGTAGAGTTTTGCATTATAACCATCTAAAAACTGAGGAGCAAACTGGCTCTGTTTGGGTCTGTGAGCTTTATCGGAGGTGCTGAAGTTCACATTTGTGGTGAGATTTCTGCCTGAAAGTGTTTTCAGGTAGTTTTAGTTTCCACCTCCTTGTCTCATCCTAACATACAGTCCCAAACGTGCTTCTGTGTCTGTCAGACGGTCTGAAGGGGAAACTACCACAGCAGCAGAGCAATAACGCAGGCTAATCCCCCACACAGAAAAGGAAACATCCACCTGTCATCTTGCCACTCAGTTTTCCTCGTTGTGATTCACTGTAAACATGTTGTAGAAGGAATGTAGAAGCAGATCTGTGTGGAAACTGTGTTACAAAACATCCACCAATATATTCTATATAGACTCCTAAAGTTAGGTTAAATAAAAGTGACAATCCACCAAAATGCTGAAAGGTCAGAAGATGATAAGAGACACCAAATATCTGGGGATTTCCACAGATCCAGGAGCAGCAGGAAAGAGAGCCAAGAGGTGATGTAATGCTTAGAAACAGAGCTATAAAAGGAGGTCCAAAACAAGGTGAAAATCACTTGTTACATGGCTTCATGTCAACTCGGGTCTCTGTTCTGGTAACAGAATGGGACTCTACTTTGCATCCATCTCTGAACCTCTCCGCTGAAACTTTTCTTTTCTAACTGCTGTCTATTTTTGTTGAAAATAAACATGTTGGTAAAAGTTCAAGCTTTTTTATCTGGCCTAAGTCTTGGTTTTTTACACGGCACTGTCTTCAGTGAATTTAAAAACATACGTTGCTTTTTGTAGGATCAATAGATTTGAAAAGTACTTTTTACTTTTGATACTCAAACTTTTAAATCCAGGTACTTTTTCACTTTTACTTGAGTAGTATTTTACTGGCTGACTTTTATTTGAGTAACATTTTAGTGTGGTATCTGTACTTTTACTTAAGTAGGAACATTTAGTACTTTTCCCACCACTGAACAATGGTTATTCTACAAGAGGAGCTGAATTCCATCAGTCCTCTGAGTGTTTCTGATTTATGCACCACTGATGAACTGAAAAGTTGCCACAGATTTTCTTTTTCCTTCAGACTTTTCAGACATCACACATGTACCACAATAGAATTACTGAATTATGAACAGAGAAATGATTATTGTCTCTTGTCAACTACTAGAAATGTGTCACTGAGCTGAACAAGGATGGAGACTCCTGGATTGGTCTACGGGCCATAGAACGGACAGGAGGGGAATGGGTGGACGACTCGCCGCTGACAGTACAGTGAGACGCTTTTAAAGTTTTTAGTTTCCTTCACAATTCATTTTCTTCCTAAAATAAGTTTGTTTTTAAAATTAGATGAAAACAAATGAAAAAAATATTACTTCACATTATATTAATTTACTAAGCTGAACACGTTATTAAAAGTTAAATTGTCATTTATTACTGACAATAAAAATATTTCAAGTAAAATCCAACAGCTTCCTTCAAATTGAAAATAATCAGGAGTGACAACATTTTATTTCTCCAACAGGTTCTGGGCAACAGGACACCCGCACAGCAACTATTATTACCCCTGCAGCATGCTGCGATAAACAAGGAAAAATGGACAACGAGCGGATATGATGATCAGAAGAACTGGATCTGTGAGAAAGGGCTTTCCTGTTTATCTTGAGGACAGAGGGGTGTGTAGTGTTGGGATCAACTTTGTCAAATTAGACCAACTCACATTTTACATTTCTTCAGTTGTTCATTCTGTGTTGCATCCTGAACAACCTGGATTACATAGATATTGTTCCTCTGCCCTACACAGTGAACAGTCTGGTTGGAAGTCATCCACACAACTACATGTGCACTTACCCTCTCTGCAGAGAGGGATATTACAACAGCCTGTTTTCAAAAAGCCTAAGATGTCACATACATGACAACAAGGGGAAAGACGGCTCCTTTCTGTTTCAGTGTTATTTAAGCCATGATCATAAAGGACAAACCTCATAGGCTTCTTCCACAGACCACTTACTGATGTAGTTACACTTGGGAGGAGGAAAGATTATGAATGTGTTTTGGAGAGAAGAATACACCTGATTTTGAATAAGATTTTAATCCATCTTTAATGCTTGGTTGCATTTACACTTGGGCTGTTTTGCTAATCAAAAGATATCGAATCCACACAAGATGCATGAACTGATAATAAGTCACCTCCCCTGTATGTGTGTCAGTAAGGATGATATTCAATCATCTCTTTTGTTTTCTTCATAAACTTACAACAGAACAGTTATGTGTTTAACATCTTAGGTTTATTATCATCATTGAACCATTAATACTTGTCACGTCATTTCATCTACTAGACAGAACAAAAATAACTGGTCAACACATCACATTTCCTGTGTCAGAGATGCATGTGTGAATAAACTATATGGAGAACATGAATGCAGCTTTGCACAAATGTGTGAATGTGAGCACAAACCTGCTGTTGAGTGAAAACCATATACTTCCTCAGCGTCACTGACAAAAAAAATCTTTATGTTTCAGCTTTAAATATAGTTTTATGTAGTTTATGCCTCAATTAAAGTCAAGTCTTCAATAACACATATGTTGTGGTGTCCATCTGTGTCAGTGGTGAGTCCTGCTGTTACTTCCTCTTTTGAAAGCTGCCCAACCCAAAGACAAACAAGCAGACAGTGAAGCTGTTCACTAAGTTTTCAGTGTTTCAAAATGTCTGCAAGGATTCTCGCTGCACCAGATTCAAGCTTGAATGTGAGATATACCGGAAGAGTTCAAGACAACAGAGGAGCGGGAGAGGAGAATCAGCTGGAGATCTCAGAGGATGAAAAGCATCACGCTGATCCTGGGTCACAAAAAGCAAGTAAGTCTGAAATGATGTTGTAAGAAGGACGTTAATGTACATTTTTGTGTGGCTATATAAAAATGTATAATTCATTAATCAGTTACCATTAACTATGGGTCATTATCAGGTATCTTGTTTTTGTAATCTGGTGCCACAATAGTCAATTTTCTTACTGACAGAATGACAACGAGTAACTAGAGAATCCAGTTTCTGAAGAAACTGCAGAGTGAATGTGGGCTGTTGAAAGCTGACGCTAAACTGGATAGCTGGCTTAAAAATTACCAACAACATTTGAAAGTATGGAAATTCTGATGCTATTCTTTTCTAGTTGGCACTAACGTTGCTGAACCTGTTTCTCTGATAACTTGAGATCCAGACGTCCCGTGACTAAAATCCTCAATCTGTTAGTGAAACAGACAGACAGTCTGGACAATGACAGCAGAACTAGCCTGTGTGCATGAACATCCCCACAAAGATATCAAAAACTGTTTATTTGTGTGTCAACAGTGAAAATTGTTGGCATGACGCCGAGTTAAAGAGAAGATTTTAAGAAGATTTTCCAAGGCTGCTTCACTCTATTGATGATGTCATCCACTTACGTTTTTACATCAAACTGTGGGAGGAGATACAAGTTTTTGTTTGTAGAAGAACACAGGCTGTGAATGCTGACTCAGCCTGTCAGGCCGTAACCAGGGTTTAGAAATTAGTGAGGTCCAGACTTTGTTTCTTTTAATAGAGCTTATTTACAGAAATTCACACCAAAATCACACAAACTAATGATCTATAATGAAAAACACAGGCCTACAAAGGGACCTGTTGGGAAAAAATACTTTTATTAAAGCTGAATTTGTTCTTTTCCTCTGTGTGTGTGTGTGTGTGTGTGTGTGTGTGTGTGTGTGTGTGTGTGTGTGTGTGTGTGTGTGTGTGTGTGTGTGTTGTGTTTGTGTGTGTGTGTTTGTGTGTGTGTGTGTGTGTGTATAAATAAGAGATACAGACAGACACTGTAGTGAACAACGGTGTGGATTTGTGCATTTTATATTGAATAAATTTGGAGCTACTCCAAATTCTTCTCTCCTCCCCAGAGAAGAAGGGGAGGGGTCAAAGTTGCTTTCTCTAAGTGCTATCCCGACCATAAAACTGGCACCTTTTTGATTCCGAAGCTGATATCGCGGGGCCTGACTGTTAAACTGACAAAGGGACACGAACCAGCGAGTAGCATCTCCCTGAACAGCCTATCAAAACTGCCCCCCCCCACATGTTTCCGTGGCAACTGACCTTGCTCTTTGTTTTATTACCACATCAAAAGAAAACCCCTGTCTCACCCAAGTGTGACATGATCCAGGTAGCCAAACTTTGGATGACTGGAGTCTCCAAAGACTCAAAGCATTTCATTAAGTTTAATTAAATCCTCTATTTGAGTAGTTATGTTAACTGTTGTTGCTATCTGTTGTTGATATTAGTGCTGAAAAGAAAGAAACTTTTGCAGTGTTTTTGTTTTCAGCAAGACACTCCTTCATCTAATGTGATCAATGCTTGTTCATAATACTTTCCTACAAAATTCCTTTAGAAATGATGATAAAGAAATGTTTTACTATACTCTTAATCGCCAGCTTGAATTTAAGGATGAATCAACAATAACCTGACTTTGTGGAATGTCCTGGGTTTCTAAGGAGAGACGATCTTGGATTAATCCAAGCTTTCCTCATGTAACCTGAGCTCCCCCAAGTGGACGAAATAAGTATTACATGCCCTCGTCGGAAATGCCGTTAAATGTATAAATATCCTGACCAATAATGTCACAATTGTTTCCTGTTACCAAATACTTAGAACAGTACAACCGTTTGACCATCGAGGTTCGATTGTGGTAAATATTTGATTGTAAATGTGCAAATACTACTATCGTAGTTTGTTGTGCTTGTTGCTGTGTGTTTGTTATTGTATGGTCTTGGAGTTTTGTTGTGTTTGAGGTATTCATGTTCTGCAGAACAGGAACCTGCTGAAAATCAGTTCTATACTGAGTCAGGACCGATTGCTCTTAATCTTTTCCTGTTTAAATAAATAAATAAATAAATAAAAAAAATAGATTTTCTTTTCTTTTAGACATTAAGTTTAGAGAGGCAGTCCCTCGGGAAACCACGCCCCAGGCAACAAAAGAGCGACACGTGACGTCGTTCGATCTCTTCTCTCTTCCACTCTTCTCTGCTCTCTCTCTCGGCTCTCTGGACGCTTCGGCACGCGTCCGGCCTTTTGTTCGCTTCAAGCTACACACCTGAAGTGCCGCGACATCGATCTGCCTTCAGTTTGTTTTATTTTCTTTATTTCTTTTGTTTTGTTAAAGTTATCAGTTTGTTAAGTTACACTGGACTAATTCAGGAACGACCGAGTTCCATTTTAAGCCTTTTTCGTCGAGCCAACTTCACCGAGGTCAGACCAAGCCACGTGGTCTCGCCAGTGACAATGAAGGAAACCTGCAAACAGCCGAACTGCCAGACAGAGGAGGCGTTTTCAATCAGACACGGAAAACCCCGGAGAATCCCTAGAAAAAAGCCAGGATCGGCAGCTAGCGTGGGACCCGTGCAGCAGGCCAAAAGCAGGCTGTCGACAAACAGTAAGACTTAACACACGTTCTGTGGACAGAGATTTCCTTTTAACTCCTAAACTCATAGCGTTAGTTTACTTTCATTAGCTCTTCTATGCCGTATGAGTCAAATGCTTCCCACAATCGAACCTCCAGGCTCATTGTTCAGCAATTGTTTATTTTCCTTGTATTCAACCATCCTTTTATTACATTAGTTAGAGAATAAATTCACTGTAATATAATCAAGAGCTGTGTGTGTTGCCTATTTCTACGTCCCTGCCAAGAGAATTGACCCTTTAGATATGAGACTGACTGACTGATTTAAGATAATTGAGCGATTATTAACTAACTGATCACTAGTAATAATTGTATAATTATTCAAAACTACCTAGAGATCCGGAGACTCTAGGATTATAACAACTCCGGTGGTGCCCTTAACGAGGAAATTCTGATTTTATGAATTTTAATTCATAATTGGGTATCAATTCTCATAAATTTATTAAAATGCATAACTAAATCTAGGTTTGCTACAACACGCTATGATCAGGTCGTGCAAACAGGGAAATCTTGCTATACTAATCTTCACAACATGTATCAGGCTAAATGTATCTGACAGCCTACAACTGGCATCACAGGACTTTGTTGGAATGACATGTGCAGACTGCATAATGGCCACTATTGTTACTATATGACAACATAAAAAACAGCAGGTTGGTGCTGAATTCAGAGGATGCTCTGGTTGATATTACAGCCTCATTATTTGACGTCAGCAGCTGGTTGCACTGTTTTGTCAAGAGTATAGGAGCTGAATTCATGTGATGCATGGATCGGCTCTGACTATAATGTAATAATCATGTGCATAAACCATCCACATGCCCTCAACCAAAGACCTATTTTCTTTCTTTCTCTAATTAGCTTTCCAGGTGTTTTCTTTATTATTTATGAGTGTTTTCTTTAACTATTTACTTTAATGATTAGAGAGGCTGCTGTCAGTCATTTAAACGTTTTCATTCGCACTGTAATGTCACAGCAATAATAATTTAAGCAGCAAAATAAAAAACCTTGTAGTTAAAAACTTGACAGGTGCAGACAGAGAAAACTCTGCAGAGGAAACAGAATTCAACTTTAACAACCAGCTTCTAAAAGGTTCAGACTTTCTGATGGAGATCAGGATTGATCAGGAGGACGGCTGCTTTACTCAGATTTACTGTCTGAACCTGGACTGTGTGAGAGACCTTCTGTAGAAGAACTAAAAACATTAGTTAACATTAGATTCTGACCGATCCTGTTGGCGTGTTGGGAGATTTGATTATGAAGTCATGCTGCTGCGGCTCGTGCGTAAATGCGCACAGCGTCTCTCCTGAAGGGGAGAGAACAGCGGGGCTCTCAGTTAGTGCGCGCACGCCGTTTTAATGTGCTTCTGATCAGAGAAACAGTTTGTCAAGTTGAAATAAGGGTTTTGACAGTGTAATCTGCTGCGTCCTCATGGTCCTGAAGCCTTCATTTAAGTTGATCGTGTTATCAATAGTTGTTATTAGATTTTTTTTATTGATAGGTTATAGCCTACATATAATTACAGAGGTCTGCACCTCGGTTACCTCATAGCTGGTTACGGTAATGCAGCCAATGTGCCACTATGAAACTCCACAGTTCACAGCGGCCACTTCAAACTTCAAACAAGAATAATTTAAATGTTCTCTCTGTATTTTGTCTCTGTAGGACCTCAGACTCCAAAGAATCGTGTCAGAAGAAGGTGTTTTACTGCAGCGACTCTGGGAGTGATGTATCTTCTGATATTGGCTGGAGTCTTCATACGCTGTGAGGAATTATGTTTTAAATCCAAAGTCTCATAACTTGAATCCCTCTCTGTGTTTTGTAAAGTTAAAAACCTTTTATTCTCTGTTAGATAACATAACAGCTGCATGAACATGTATTTTATAAACACTTCATGTGACTTTCTGCTGTAGTTTTGTCCAAGAGACTTTTTAGGTAAAAACACTAAAG